GCTATATAGCTATATATGTAGAGTATATAAGAGTACAAAAAATAAATAAGGTATCAACCGATGCGAATGTTCTGTTAGGTTATTCTTGAGTTGATGGACAATGTCTCTATTGTATAGCTGAGGATTAAAAAGACTACGAAAATTTTCGATTTAAAGAATATCTTAGCATATATGTATATAGAATAAAATAGAATATAGTAGAATTCATATATACTTATAAAATATATAGAGATCTAGAGGATGATTCTCAATAAATAAAATAGAATGAAAATAGATACAAGATAGAATTACTCACATATTAAATCCACATAAATATAACAATTTTAGATAATATATAAAGAATTTTAAGTCAGATACAAATATAGATAGAGAGGGAGAGAGAGAGAGAGAAAAAGAGGGCGAGCGGGAATGAGTCCCTTATCGCTAGAGAGATAGAGTAATAGAGAGAGATAGGGTGAGTCGGAGATAAACAGAGAGAAAGGGGGAGACAGACAGAGAGAGAGAGAGAGAGAGAGAGAGAGAGAGAGCAATTGAGAGAAGAAGATAAAGAGAGAGAGAGAGAGAGAGAGCAATTGAGAGAAGAAGATACAGAGAGAGATAGAGAGACAGAGATTGATAGGGAGAGGAAGAGAGAGAAGGAGATAATATTACAAAGTAGTCATACAAATTGTAAGGCATAGAAGCATATATCTTCTTGAACAATATCAACAGTCGATATAGCCAGGTGCGTCCGTCTGTTTCCATGCAAGGCTATCGGCAGGGACTGCTGCAGAAAGGGTATATGTCGGACAGCTCTATTATATAGCTGCCGTAGGAATGAACAATCGAAAAGGAAGTTACTGAGTGAAAATTCAAACTCAAAAGTGTGCAAAATCTTGTCAATATCGGACTACTATAGCTTTACAGAAAGTATTGAAAATGTTTTTGTTTTTCAAGATATTATCTATAAGCTCCGTAGTAGAAAGCTTTACAATTCTGCCATATATCTGGAAGGGCATCTACTCTTCGGTGTATCCGATCTTTGTTGTCACGTGTGCTGTTACTGTGTTCCCCAAAGTATTTATGCGAGCTTCTTAAGTTTGAGTCAGCTGCTTGGGACTATTCCCGTGCTGGCTAGAGGGTATCTTAGAGTCGTGCTAGCCTGTTGCTTTGCATTGCTGTTGTATGCCTCTTTAATGTGCCCCTTGGGGCTGTCCAGTTCTTCAACTATTTATTCCTGCTGCCTGCAAATCATGTCTGTTGTGCGTCATAGGATTTTGCCCAGATGACAGGTGCTGCTGCTGCCGCTGCGGCTGGCTATGATTGAGTTATCTAAAATAAAATGCTCAAAATGGCCTGATAAATGTTAGCTGACAATAAAACGTATGACAGGCAGCGCAATGGGAAGAGGGCGCCGGGCAGGGCGGCTCCGTGGAGACAACAGTCGCCACACAGTCATTACGTCTGCGACGGATTGCGCGATGTGGCACAGATACTCGCCAATGCGTGGGCGATCGCATAATAGCCATAATCATCCACGGACCTGTGTCTGGGCTTGACTCTGCGAATGGCAACGGGACACGGGTTTGGGATGGTTATGCAAAAAAACAACAACAAAAACCGCAAAAGCGAGCCAAGGAAGTCAGCTGCTGTGACACAACTTGCAAAACCATACACTCTCTTGAGCGTCATAGTCTTTATAAAGCATAATTCACATATTTTCTAATACTAAAGTGCTTTTTTTAAGTTAAAATTTCTAAATTGAAAAAATCGTTATATAACAAATTTGTATAGCATAACGATATATGGGCTCGGCTTTGGTGAATTTTGAATAAATCTGATTGGTAATTTAATAATATTTTTTTTTGTTTTTTTGAGTAAGATAAGATATCTGCTTTTCATACAATTTATGATTTATATATAAAGAACTGTGCACTGATATGTAGTGGAACTCACTAATAGCCTCCGTTCCAAATTTCTTAGCCCCAATTGTAGATTTCTAGACATAGAAGTTCGACTTTTACCAAGGAACATAATATTAGCTGATAAAGCATAAAGCACTTTCGCGGAGTGAATCACTTGGCAAATAGACTGTAATTTCCACGCTTTACATTCTTTTCGTTGCTTGCAATTCTCAACAAGTTCAAGCTTTCGAAATGGGATAAGACGTTTGCAATACCAGAGTCGATTAAATAGAAATTCGGATGAAAGATTGAAAAATTGTCAATTGAATATATAAACACGAAAGCTCCTCAATATGCTTATCCAACATATATTAGATATCCCTTATATATTATAGGGTATATGCCCAACCTAGCACGAAATCAAATCGAATAAATTGTATAAATTTGCATAGAAAAAGCTGTGACGAAGTACTTGGCTTGCAGCCATAACAGCTACACACATATCGTGGACATATATCAAAGTACCCGCAGTAAGGGTATCAAAAAACTAAAACCGCAGTCGCATCAGTTGCCTGTCTTCGTCTTGGCTGCAGGGCATTGTACAGCGCCCACGGTCTACACACGATTAATACACATTTTTATATACATACATATATATATGTATATGTGTATGTATAAATGTATATACATATGTATGTACAGATGTACATGCAAACACACTAATTTACATGCGCGTCTGTATGTATTTTCATAGAAGCGAGAGCACACGAACGTGCATATACACACACACACACACACATACACATATAAATACAAATATATATATATACACATATACATCTAGATATATATACGCGTATGTACATCTTTATGCACAATACATACGCATACATGTATGGCAAATAAATCTGTGTATGTGTATTTATCTAGATCTAGCTGTAGCTCTCTATCTATTGCCGACACAGCGCAGCGCATTTTATTTTTAGATAATTGCTCTTCCTCTTCACAATTTGGCGCCGATCCAAAAAAAAAACGAAGAAGAAGCAGAAAAACAAAATAAATAGATTCTAGATTTTTGCAAAAATCATAGTAATAACAAGCAAACGCGCTAATCTCAAAATGATCCGCAGATTACACGCCCTCCCACCAGACAGAGGCAGCTGCTCTCCTTATATATCTGTCTCTATACATGCATATATTTATCAGACTAACTATACAGAAACTATATGGGTATATATGTAAATACATATATATATATAAATTGAAGCGCGATGCACCTCTTGAGAAATCATTTTCACTTGATAACATTGATTTTATGACGCTACAAATTAAACCTAACGCTTAAATGTAGTTGAAACCAATAAAGATTCAAGATTCAATTAGACGACAGTGTGCAAAAATTGATAAAGTTATGATGTCATGGGAACTAACTGGGCATTCAGTCATATCTGCCCTGCATAGTTTCAATTTCTACGTGCTGACTAGAAGATATTCTCGAAAACTAGAGCATTTCACTCAAGAATTTCGCTAGCGAATTTCCCTCTTAGGGTAATTCCGGCCATACAGAGCTTTGATCCCCGAACTTCGGGCACAGTCTTAATTTAAGAACAACATTTTATTATGATACGTAACAAATTTTTGATGACCCAATTAACATGATATTAAAATAGTACTTTTTATCAACTTAACTACGTAAATGCATACTGAGATGACACATATGCATGCACACACACACACACACGATAACAAAGCTATTGTGAGCGTATTGTGTGTGTAGCCTATATAATGGTAAAGCCAATTTTTACTTATCTGAACGGCTAATCTTTCTGACAGCAAGCTGATTGCCTTGCACTTATTGTGGGCGTTAAGTGTGCCCAGCCGTGTAAGAAAAACACCATCTCTAGTGCGAACACACTTCGATTGTCTGTGCTGTGATTTATCGATGTCAGCGAGAGTCGATTAATGTGCCTAACACAACGATTGGCAATTCAACATGGCGGCCGCACAATAGCCTGGAAACTGCAGGCACTTCAAAAAGAACTCGGCAACACTCTACAGAGAGAGAGAGAGAGAGAGAGACAGAGAGAGAGAGCGAAAGAGGAAGCATAATAAATATACAGTCTATTTATTATTGTGCAGGATAGCTCACCCGAAAACAGCTGCTGCATTGGGCTAATAAATAGGTCCAAATGTAGAAAAATGCACCAAGAAGAGCCACAATAAACGACACGAAAAGCAGCACAATCAGCCAAAATAGGAACCACAACGGATTCTTCATATTGTATGCGAATCTATATAGTATATGCATCAACGATAAGTAGTTAAAGTAAACAATTTAGCTGACTACTCACCCGGATCGCAAACAACACAACTTGCCTTGACAACTTGTCTCGTCTACTGGCACTGGGTCTTGACATGGACTTATTGAGCGACTGCTATATGCTTCTAATCGGGCTATCTAACATTTGAGTGGCAATGTGCTACGGTAATTTTTACCACACACACACACACGCACAAAGAGTTTAAATAGGCCTTCCAAGTATTAGTCTATGTGGACTTTATTTTATGCTGATTACGGCCATAACTTGTGAATGTGCGAATATAGATAGGCCTGTGCCAGCGTCAAATCTAAAAAAAGGAAAGAAAATTAATTGAATTAGACCAATTACCCCTAGAAAACGGCATACAAGATAAACGCTAAGACACTCAGTTAATATGTTTTAAGCATAACTAGAGCTAATGAGAACTGCATGGAAAGGCGATATTTAATTGAAGAGGCAAGTGAGTAGGTTATAAATCGCATGAATAAGTGAGTAAACGAGAGAGAGGGAGAAAGCGAGAGACGCCCACTTCACAATATCGCCTTTCTCTGCAGTTCTCATAAATTCAAGTCCTGTTGGATGTATTTATGGATTTTGATTATGGTTTTTGATGGGGCAAAAAAAGTTACAGCAAGTTGCACTCATTTATTTGACATGCGCTTAGTAAGCTATGCTCAATATAAACTTATAAAGAACTCGGGGATCTCATTAAGTTTTATGCCCAACAGGCCCTGCGCCAGGTATCAAAACTAATTTTTCACCTGAATTTAGAGTCAAACATATATATATAGTTTTATTTATATATATATAGATATATAATAATAGAATATAGTGTGAGATGAGCAGCAAACAGGTATACGACGTGGCCGATCCCACGGCCGACGCTCTGAAGGCATCAGCATTTGCACAACGGGTCTACACAAAGTGTGTGCGCACTCCAGAGGATCTGGGCAAATGGAAACGATCTCGGGCCTACTATGACCTGGTGGCTTACATAAATAACACCAGCATGGCCATACAGGGTCATCGTCAGGTCGGCGGCTATGCAGTGTCCAAGCAGATGCTTAAATTGTGCAAAATCTTCAATTGGCTGGATCGTCTGGTATATCAATGTCATCCGTTGGGCGCGGGACAGGGACTGCTCCGTTGTGTTGGCGAGGACAGACTCGATACGATGGAATCGACACATTCGCTGGGCCAGAAATGTCATCGCGCGTATCGGCAATGGACCAAGTTGGTGCAGGAGAAGATCTTCTCGATACTGGAGTCCCAGGTGAAGCCCCACTGCAAGCACGTCAATGAGCTGGCCCAGTATTTGACCCGCTCCTTTGGTAGCTTACAGCATTACGACTACGGACCCGGCAATGAGCTAATGTTCCTGTTCTTTTTGTGCGGCCTGTTCAAGTCGAGCATATTGCAAAGCGAGGATACAGTGGCCGCTGCCCTATTGTTGTTCCAACGCTATCTGGATCTGGTGCGCCGCCTGATGACCTTCTTTCGCCTGGTCCCGACTAGTGTGCGTGACAATAACGTGATCGACGATCGCAACATTCTGCCATATATCTGGGGCTGTGCTCAGCTCTGTCGGGAGCAGCCGTTCGCGCCGCCACAATGCGAAAAGCCGGCCATAATGGAGGCACATCGCCAGAACTATATGCTGCTCAGCAGCCTGGAGCATCTCCAGAAGATAATGGGCAATGTCGCACTCGGCGTGCACTCGTATCAGTTATGGTGTGTGCTCTCGCTGTCGAACTGGCCGGATGCGTACTCTGGCCTGATGGGCACTTATCTCAAGTATGTGCTGAACGACTTTTACATCATACAGGATCTGATCTTTTGCGAAATGTTGTCTTTTGCGCGCCAGCCCCTCGAGTATATCCAGCGGGCTTTTTTGGGTGAGCTGCCCAAGCAGGAGACATCCTCTTCACAAACTGATGACGATGAGGAGGAGGGTGAGGAGGAACAGGAGCTGGAGCCGGAGCCATATCTGGCGATGAGCGAGAAGCACAAGCAGAAACAGAAACAGAAACAGGACATCAAAAATCAACAGCAAGAATTGCCATTGGGCCCGCCCGTGCCACTGCACAAAAGCCTCAACACAGATGTCTTTCTCGGCTATAAGGATCCGCGCAAGGCGAGCGATCAGGGCGAGGATTCACACATCAAAATGCTGCGCCGGCAACGTAACCAAAAGAATCAGCTACTCGAAAAGTCCTCGAATCAGGTAGATTCAAAACGCCAAATAAGCCCAAGGCTGAGCCTAGAATCGGGTGGCTCCGATGATTTTGGCAAATTGAATGAACTTTTGGGCATCGAGAAGTCGACCAAAAGTCAATCAACCGTCTCAATCTACAGCATCTAACGAACATCTACTGCAAGGACCGTCGAAAGCAAAAGATACACTTTATATATTTATATATTCATATATATATATATATATATCTGTCAGTTCCTGTCTGTTCATCAAAAGGGGCTCTGTTGAAATGTTATTATTTAACATACATAGATATGTAGATATATATTATAACACGCTATGTAGCTGTTACTATCTGTCTCTCACTTACACAAACACACGCACACACTGCCACACACACACACACGCTCCGTCTCTGTCTCTCTAATTTGCTCTTGGACATTAAATTCGCAGCTGTTTTATTTCGTGAGTGTGTTTGTGTTTGTGTTCATCTGTGTTTTATGTTTGCTTGTCTGATTGTGCGACAACAAATGATTCAGTTGGTCTTTAACTGGAACTTATTAATTTCTACACAAGCACACACGCACACACACACACATGCACACACATGCACACACATGCACTCTAGTAGACCGTCTCACGCAACTTGTTATTATTATTATTATTAAAGTTGTCGTTGTTGTTGTTGCTGCTGTTGATATAGTCGTTATTGTTATTGTTATTTTTATTGTATTTCCACTGTCACTGCCGTTTCTTCTTCTTTGCCTTTCACACATAATGTTAAGTTCATAAAGAACAGAACATCATTGTTATGGCAGCTGATAAACTGCGCGCAATACACACACACACACACACACACATGCATGCATGCATACGTATACGCATACGTATACGTATGTACATATATATCGCATACGCACTGTGTCTGCTATACATTCTCGACTTTTCCTAATTTAACGCTAACGCACATTGCAGTATTTCTCATAGTTCTTTTTTAATAACTCTTTTATCTAGATACCACTGTCTATCTATTTGATTATTTTTCTTGTAGTGAACAACTGAATCAATAATAATTGCAATTGATTGTTTAACTTTAGCAGATATATTAATTTTTAAATTTTTCTTCTTATTGCATATGTAGCTGGATATTTGAATTATTCTAGGCAAATTTCCAGCACTTCCGTAAGCCTTTATGTTAAATTAAACGATTATGTATTTTCGAATTTCTACATAATTCGGGTTTCCTTGACTTCTAACCACTGTAACCGATATAGTAGACCAGTCCATTTTTATACCCTGAACACATTAAAAATGGGTATACGGGTATATTGTGTTTGTGCGAAAGCTAAATGTATGTAACAGGCGGAAGGAAGCATCTCCGACCCCATAAAGTATATATATTCTTGATCAGCACCAATAGCCGAGTCGATCTAGCCATGTCCGTCCGTCCGTCCGTCCGTCCGTCCGTATGATTGAACGCAAGGATCTCAGAACCTATAAGAGCTAGAGAAATTTTAGATGTAGGTGCTCCCAGTTCCCGCGCGGATCGAGTTTGTTTCCGATAATCGATAACTTACTCCGTTTTCAAGCAATCGATAAAAATCGATATCGATGTTCTGTTTTTTGTCAGTTTTGGTAAATAATAAGAGCTAGAGTCACCAAACTTGACATATTGCTTCTAAAATAGAATATATATATGCATTTGATGTTGGAAGAAGAGGGTTCAGGGTATCCCCTAGTCAGGAGCTCCCGACTAGAACCTCTTACTTGTTTTAATTGAATACCTGTCAACATAACTTATGAACGAAAAAACTAAAAATCAATTTGAACCTTGACCCCAAATTACTTAAGTACCTGTGTATGTATGTACGTATGTATGTATGTATGTGTGTACGTACATCATAATTAATCAGCTTTCATAATCGCAGCCTTGATAGATTATAGATATACGATTCCGTGTGCTAACTAGATAAGCTTTATTTATAATATAGTCAAGTGTAGTAAGATAATGTGAAAGTTCAGATCAAACCTAACCTGTGTGAAGAGCCATCGAGATGCAGTTCGATTAATCGATAACCGAAGCTAAAAATCGATACTAGATATTAAACACACTTTTTAGAAAGACATTCACATTACATATGTATGTACATACACACGTACATACATGCATGTGTCATCAAGTCAAAACCAGTTACGCTGAGAATAGAAATTTGGTAAGAAAGCGTTTGAACTCTTATTGGCCATTTAGTGGCTACATACAAACACACGCACACACAAGCACGTGTAAAGTTTTGACAAACTAAATAAGTCACATTACATGCACTGATACAAAATATACATACATATATGTACATGAACATACATACATACATGTAGTTGTATTTGTATGTATGCATGTACATATGTCAACAATTGGCGCGCAGTAGCCGACCGCAGTTGCTGCTGCTGCTACTAATGTTGTTTTTGCTGCTGCTGCTGCTGCTGCTTCTGTCCGTTGGCACAGTCATGGTGAAAATATTTCAAAAATGTCTGTTAATTTAACAGCAGCGCTGTTAGGCGCGCTCGCAGCTTTGCAGCGATCTCATTCCAGAATAGGCAACACGCGCGTTAGCTTTTTTGAGCTCCAACAGAGAGTCGCTGTTACGCCCTGCATGTGTGCGCTCTCCGGCTGCGGCGCTCCCACTCTCTTAGCCTCTCACACACGTACACACACACACGCACGCAAGCTCTGGCCACAATAGATGCGACAAGCGAATGCAAAGTTGAACGCTGGTGTTGTAAGGGAAATGGGGAAAATTAAAAGAAAAAACTTGTTCCTTTCTAACAATGAGCGACAAGATCAGACGTCTTATCCCGCTCATTTGCTGCATCATCAGTTGACCAACTGGCCGGCCAAGCGGCGCAACAGCAACAAAAACAACTCCTTCGCTCTTTCACCATCCACCGACCGACCGACCGACCGCCACCTGCATTACAGCTTCTCTCCACAGCTGACGACGTGCAACAGCGCAACAACAAAAGCACAACGCACACATGTGAATGACATCCGACAGTACCCGCAATACATGCAAACAAACAGCCATAGAAAACGCATTCATACTTTCACACATACATATACACACACACATTCACACACACACACACATACACACAGCTAGTTGTTAAACTTGCTTGCTAACTTTGTCTATATGTATGTATGTTTGTACACGGAGTATGTTTGTATATATGTACATACATACATACATATGTGTTTTTGTTTAGTTGTCTTCAGAATATTTCTCCAGCTTTAACATTTAATTCTATTGTACTTTAACAAATGATTGCCACTTCATTTTAATTTATCCCAGTCATCAAATTTACCCATTTATTTGTTTGACAAATGATCGGAAAACTTGTAAACACATGCTTACATATACATATATATATACATACAAACATTAATTGAAGCTTGTATTTTATTTATGTTTGTACATACATATGTATATATATATATATTAAAACGATCGTAGACGATTTATAAACAAGCCTATCTCAAAAAAGGGACTCGGCTCTTATAGTACATACATACATATGTATATATGTACATACATATTCATATTAAATTGCTTAACAGTCAAAAACTTTAACAGAACAGTAACTGTTATTTTGTGTACGGATTATATGTAGCTTAACAGATTATTAATTATTAAATCTGAAAATCCTGTAAGTGCGTGAAACACATTGTTTTTTAATCGAACCTGCCCCATATTCTTGAATATACCTGTATATGAGTTTGTATTTATGTGTGTCTGTAGTTGGCCTACCTGCTTTTTTGTGGACTCTTTAGCCTGTTTTGGGTACAGATGCAAATGATACCCCTTCCCCCACCTTGCCAACAGGCAACACAGCGCCACTGACGACGATGCCTGGTACTTTGCTTTTCTTTACAAACACAAACACAAGCACGAGCACTGGCACTGGCACGGGCACACACACTCACGTACAGGCAATCGCAGCGTGTCTGTTGTGTTGTTGTTGCTGTTCTTCTATGCCCTGGCCGCGCCACAAACAACAAGTGAGCGAAATCGAGCGCAAAGTAAATGAGCGGCAAAAGGCAACAGCGCAGCTCGACTCGGCTCAGTTCGGTTCGGTTCGGCTCGGCTCTCCACGCTGTATTAGTCACACGTATGCCACTAACAGGCGCATGAAGAAGAATGAAGAGAGCGCTTGCGTGCGCGTGTATTTGTGTATTTATGCATGTTTGCTTTTGTGGTATTGGTGAGTTGTTGTATTGGCTTTGGGGCTTGATCACATTGTGCGGTTGTAGTTGTCATCGTTTGTGTGTTAGCAAACTAAACAGAGACAGCCAAACAGCCAGCCAGTCAAACAGGCAGCAGCAAGAGCCCAGACACGGAGCCGTGTTGCCAGTCAGTCGGCCCAGCGAGCGAGCTACTGTCGTTCTTTGTATTGATTCCGATTCAGTCGATGAGTTTCTCTCGCTTCTGCGCGTTGCGTGTTTCGCAGTGTTTCCGCGATTTTTTCGTTGTCGTCATCGTTGCCGCGTCTGCCTGTTCGCCCCGCACCCCGTCTGCGCCATACACATTCCCCCCGCAAGCTCGTCACGCGGGGCTCAGTGCGTTGTTTCTGCGCGCGTGTGTGTGTGTGCGTACATAAATACATACGTATATATTTTTTTTATTGTGTGTAGATATTTAGTTGTTTTATTTTTTTTTTGCCGTGTTTTTTCTTAGTTATTTTTTTGTTAAATTTACATACACATTTATTTTTTGGTGCTCATTTATGTACTTAATGTGTTAACTCAAAATACTTACATACATACATATACATAACTTATAACATTTGATTTTGATTATTTCTCTGCTGCTGTGTCGATGTTTTTATCTGTATTGCTGTGTGTGTGTGTGTGTGTGTGTGTGTGTGTGCGTGAGTGCTCATTCAGTTAAATTTAGGCGATGCGCGTGTGCTGTTGGCCATGTTGTGTTGTTCTGCTTCCTCTTACTCGCTTGCGGTTGCTGCAACATTAAATGCATACCGCCAATTGTTCATTCCGTCAGCAATCAAAAACAAATAAAAAAAAAGCAAACCCGCATTTAGCAACAACAATTAATAAAATAACAGTGAAAAATCAAATTTCAAGATTTCATTCAGTTACAATTACTTTGTGTATGTGTGTGCAGTCTAAATGCTAATACATATGCATATGTATGTGCATAAGTAAATACGCCAAAACAAGATAAATTATTGTGCGTGTATGTGTGTGTGTGCGTGCGGTGAGCCCAACATCTTTAAGAGTGGAACCACTCAAAAAGTACGCACCAGGGCACAAACATATGCGTACATTAATATGCACATATGTGTATGCATATGTATGTGTGCATGCTGGTTTTTTATTTCGCACACAGATGCACTCGTTCCAAAAGGAAAACAACAAATTTGTATGCAACAGCCACTCAATGCATATGAGCTGCGTGGGTCAGACAAAAACAACAGCAACATTTGCGCTTTAAGCAAAAGCTTCAATTAAGCGCGACTCGAGAAGTGCAGAAAATTACCAAAGCGTCGCTTGTTCGTCCATTCTTTGTGCTCTTTTACTCTTTTTGTTTTCCTTTTTTTTTTTTTTTTATTTTACAATTCTGCTCTCGCAATGTCTGCTGCACCTTTTTTCTGCTGAAAGGCACACACATACACGGGCGCGCGCGCGCACACATACATGCATTCAAAGTAGACGCAACACATACACACGCAGACGCAGCAGCGGCGCGCGCGCGCAAGTTTAAAAAGAGAATAAAATCTCAACTCTAATTGCCTTCAACTGGCATTTCATAAATCTTTGCAATCTAGTTCTCAACACACAATGTGAAGTGCAAACGGCAAGAAAAGTGATTTTAAACACGGTAACAAGTACATCGCGCACAGGCGCTGGGCGTTATCATAACTGATAACAGCAAAAAGCACAACAGTGAAAACAGTTAACAGCGGTTAAAAATAAAAAAACAGCAAACGTGTGTACGCCTGTGACATCAGCATCCCATTTGCAATTACCACATACACATACAATAAAAGCTGGCTGCATGAAAAACATCACCAGCTCAAGCACTTGCGGCACGGGGCTGCTGCAATTGCAGAACAATCTCAGCAACAGCGAATTGGACGTCGCTGTTGTTGGCAAACCAGAAGCAGGTGCGTTTTTTACACCCTCTCATTCTCTAACTCTCTCTCTCTCTCCAACTCTTTCTACCTTTTTAGTCTTGCTCTCTTAATAACATAGATAAATACATACATGTACATACGTGTGTTTCTCTCAATTTATCTCTGGCTGTCATCGACGTATGTGATCGTAACCGATAAGAGAGGGTATAAGAGAGCGGAGCACCCTTAACATTTATTTGCATATTGAAAATACATACAAACATACTTGTAAAATTTCCCACGTTGGATAGCGTAATATTTCGAATAACATCAATTATTTAATATGGGACTTTATTATATTGTCTCACTGCTTATCGAATATCGAATCTAATATTTTTCAGTCAAGCGGGATTGATTAGCAACATTTTTAAATTATAATCTATGCATCATTGTATAAATATATTTTAGTTATATTCTTCTATTTTGATACCGGATATCTTATATGTATACTGTATTTTCCTGACTAACTCTGCATAACTGTCTACTGTTAGAGTTTGAGAGTCATTGATTTCGTGTTACAGTCTGAGAGGCAAGAAGCCAATATTCAAGACGATTCGATTCTTTTAATAACCTAGTATAATTACACTTAAATTTCCCTTTAATTAAGCTTCAAGTCGTACTCTTCAAAATTAGTTACTAGGCAAAAAATATAAATCTTATCTAGATTGTATATTTCGCGACTTGATCTTTAAATTAAATCAGCTGCTTTTGTGATTTATGTATCCTGCAGAAAGAGAAAATACAAGAGCTGCTTCCTTCTACAAACAAACAGATGCAGTGGGCCTTTGTATGTGTGTGTGTGTGTGCGGCTTTTACACCTTGGCTAAGTTGCATTGATTTACTCTTACGCTCGGCCGCCCTTACTCTTGTGCGCTCGCTCTTCATTTGAACTCTCTCTTTTGTGCAGTGCACGCGCGTTCTTTAATCAAGTCAACGCTGGTGACAAAGACAACCAATACAAGCAACAACAATAACAAACACATTGGATACGACTACTATACTGGTTTCTACCTACCCACATGCAGGCACATATATATATATATATATACATATATATACTCCACTACCTTTACATGTTCTTACGTTTATACACGCAACACACACACACACACACTTAGCTGTATGCCTGCCTATTGAAGCGAGTGACAACAACAACAGAGCGTCGCTACCTTTGTAACTTTTATAAGCAATGTACGTGTGTTAGGTGGGGTTCACAGAACCCGATCGGTTGCGTCTTGCGCAATGTTTTTTGCCCATGCACCGTTTACACCATGTCCTGCTCTCGCTCTTCCCCATTCTCTCCCTCTCTGTCTCACTCTCTCGCCCTCTGCCTAGCTATCACGCACTCATAAGTCATGACGTCGCAGCTCATCTTTAGCCAGCAGCCAAACCATTTGAGCGCTGTTGTCGGCTGCCATCATTTCCGACTGTTAATAACATAACAGTCTGTTATGCAAAATTAGGCGCGATCGCTGCAACCAGTCCCCGAGTCAAGTCAGCAATAAATAGCATTAGCAATAGCAAAATCAGCTTGGGGATTTTTTGTGTTTTGTGTTTTTTTTTTTTTTAACTTGACTTTAAGCTTGAGTACGAGTTTGACTTGAACGTGTGTGAGTGTATGTGTGTGTGTATGTGTGTGGATTTCTATCAGGCGAAACAAAAAGTTGTCCTACCAGTTTTTTTTCTTCTGTTTTGTTGTTTCTTCTTTTTCTTTTTGGGGCCATTCTTTTTGTATGTGCGCCGCGTTGTTGTTGCTGTTGTTGTTGTTGTTGTTGTTTGTAGTGGTTTCTACTGTTTTCCTCTCCAATGCTCGTTGTTTTGCTGAGTGTGTTTACCTTGGTACTCGCGACGAATTCGATTTGAACGGTTCCACAGCATTTGCTGTTGTTGGTTTGTTCCTTTCCCGTTCCCGACGGCTTTCCCCCAGCCCCCAATTGCAGTACACTGCGAAAAGCGGCAATTACGCAATCCTGTCGGATTTCCAATCGATTCGATCCGTTCTATGCACATTTGTTTGATTCTTGCTCTCTCTCTCCCTTTCTCTCTCTCTCTCTCTTCCTCTCTCTCTTTCTAGCTTTCTTGTCTCTTCCAATCAGTTAGCACCGTTTGCCACGAGACATCATTTGGCTTTATATCTGTTGCCAGCAGTCGAAAACCAGTTTCCGCCTTTCCACACCCCTTTCGTCTATTCCTATTCCTATTCCTATCCCACTTCTACCGTTGCAATCAGCAGCGACAAGGCGACAAGAAGTTTTCAATCAAATTGCGCTGCAAAAGAAATAAACAATCGACTAACTCCAACAAGTTTTCGATTATAATTAATGGATATACATATATATGTATATATATTCTGCGACAATCGAGAATGTTCGTTCGTCGGACTTTCCATTGATTTTGGAGAATTTAAGAAATTTAGTCTTAAATATTGTACGGTGGAAAATGTATGTTAATTTTATTTAACCTCTCCTAAGTTCCATGAAACGAATGATGACAATTTTAGATGATTTATCTTCTTCTTTATATCTTCGTAGAGGGTATTATAAGTCTGTCAGGAAACGTGTTTGAACCTGTTACCTGTTTCTAAAGGTGTCTTCTCCTTACAAAGCTATAGGCTTGGTAAGGGTATTAAATAGCTTGCTAGAGCCCAAATATACTATGCCACGGCAAAACATGTTTATTGCTTGCATGCTTTTTTAAACGTCCATTTAACTTTGGTTTTCTATGCCAAACAATAGATAATTGTTAACTTTTGTATGTATGCATATTAGCTATGCAAAGTTCTTAATGACACCTTAAAAGTATGCTGTGTTTTAACTTTAACTTCAGCTCTGAATCTCTGTTGATTAATTCAGAACTTAAATAGAATATGAATATATTAAATTGCATTTGATGAGCTGATGACTAAGTTTATTTTTCAACCTTAACCTATAAATATACGAATGGTTATAGAATACCTCCTGATGTGTGACACGATTCCTCTTAATTTTATACATATATATCTCACATACACATATGCATACATACATATATACATATGTATCTACCTACTACATAATATGCTTCCTACAGTCTACTTTTCTACGTAACACGTATCGTTGGCAAATTCTTTGTAAATTTGCGGTCTGGCATCTCTCATTTCTCGCCCGTTTCTGGCGCTCATCCTACCCATTCACAAAAATATACATACATTATTTCTTTATTCCCCCAATCGGTAAATATTTCACTTAAGTTTCCACAACTGTACAATATGTGGAGTATATCACATATCAACAACTCTGCACAAATATCTGTACGTATGTAATCTGTAATCTGTATGTATGTATGTGCGTGCATATGTGCATGTTGCATGCATATAGTTTTTGAAAGTATTGTCGCCTGTCAGCCGGCTGATGACCGATGACAACGAGTGCTATTAACATGCAATTCAAGCGCCATTGCAGATCATGTGCGAAACACACCCACGAGAGCATTTAAAGAGCCTGGCTGCTTACACACGTACAAGCCCACACCCACACACACACACGCACACACACAGACATTCTCACAGCTGCAGTTTATGTTTCCAAAACAACTCAGTTGGTTCTCTTTTGTCACTTGCTGCCAGTGTTGCCAACTTTGATAAGCAAAATGCTAGTTTGGGTGCATAAGAAAATGGAGGAGGCTAGTTTTTGTTTTCTTACTCATGTCATATATTATTTTTTTATAATAATAATTTTGGATTTGCCTTTATATTTGTCTAAATACTCCATTTTAATAATACATTTAGAAAATGGAGTATATTATTATGATCAAGCTGTTTAATTTGCACGTTTTCGGAAAAGAGAAATATGAAATTAAAAAAATAGACATGTCCGTTTTTACAAGCTGAAAAAAGCCAAAATTACTGCTGCCCGCAGTTTGAACTTTTTCGCAATCACTTTCAAAAATGCCAGAATTGGCAACGCTGTTTTCTGCTGCCGCTACCGCTGCTGCTGCTTCTGCTCTCTTGCACTCATTTAGATTTGTCCCATTGCGTTGCCGACGCTGGCGCTGCCGCTGTTGCTGCTGCTGCTTCTGCTGTGTTCTGTTTTCGAAGTACGTGACTTGCTTCGCACTTCCTGTATCGTTTTGTTGGCCAGAGAAATGTTGCCAATTATTCAAAGTGTGCGGCGGCGGCAGCTGCCGCTTCTGCTGCTGTCGACAGACAAATAAAATAAACAAATAATAACTGAGCATGTGTATGTACATACAAGCACACAAACACAAACGCATGCCAAAATTGCATGTGTGTGTGTGTGTGTGTGTGTGTGTGTGTGTGTGTGTGTGTGTGTGTGTGTGGTGTGTGTGTGTGTGTGTGTGTGTGTGTGTGTGTGTGTGTGTGTGTGTGTGTGTGTGTGTGTGGTGTGTGTGTGTGTGTGTGTGTGTGTGTGTGTGTGTGTGTGTGTGTGTGTGTGTGTGTGTGTGTGTGTGTGTGTGTGTGTGTGTGTGTGTGTGTGTGTGTGTGTGTGTGTGTGTGTGTGTGTGTGTGTGTGTGTGTGTGTGTGTGTGTGTGTGTGTGTGTGTGTGTGTGTGTGTGTGTGTGTGTGTGTGTGTGTGTGTGTGTGTGTGTGTGTGTGTGTGTGTGTGTGTGTGTGTGTGTGTGTGTGTGTGTGTGTGTGTGTGTGTGTGTGTGTGTGTGTGTGTGTGTGTGTGTGTGTGTGTGTGTGTGTGTGTGTGTGGTGTGTGTGTGTGTGTGTGTGTGTGTGTGTGTGTGTGTGTGTGTGTGTGTGTGTGTGTGTGTGTGTGTGTGTGTGTGTGTGTGTGTGTGTGTGTGTGTGTGTGTGTGTGTGTGTGTGTGTGTGTGTGTGTGTGTGTGTGTGTGTGTGTGTGTGTGTGTGTGTGTGTGTGTGTGTGTGTGTGTGTGTGTGTGTGTGTGTGTGTGTGTGTGTGTGAGCAAGCGATTGCGAGAGTCGGCAATTTGCCGCCTGACGTTGTTGTCACCACGCCGCGTTGGTCCAAAGAAATCAGCGAGA